GCTGCTTCTATTTCCAATGTGTGCAGCTGTCATCTCCCGGCGCGGGATATAACCTGGTAAATTTGGAATCGCAAAGGCACAAGCTGTCCACTGTTTTTGACATCTGCAGGTAAAGAGGAAAATGTGCAAAAGACATTAAGAGGACCTGCGTTATTCCAGGAGCTGGCTGTTCACGTATATGTTGTAAAAATGTGTGCCAAAATCTATCTATCTACTGTTTTATCAATATGCTATACTGGTGATATAGACTTTGTGATGGTTTTACATTGCGTTATGGCCGTTTCCAAACATGGCCAATCTTTATTCATGCTGGGATACCTAACTTTTAAGAAGATTTCAAGTTCATCCAAATGGCTTGATCGAGCGTGCTGGATTCAAATAAGTACACTATATGAAAAAAAAGATAACAATCTGCATAACTATGTTTCTCCCATTTCTTTTATTTACGGACCATGTGTATAATACCTGACTCTCAACCCACAAAATTGAACTTTGTAAACAAATCAAACGTGCTCCTCGCTCTCAAATCAGTTTCCTTCAATCACTAGTTTTTAAATGCAGGTATCTTTGGCCTCTGTTTCAGCTTTAGAAGACTCAAATAGTGACAAAAAGGGCTCTTTCTGACAACTATGCATTACAAGACAAACCAAATGTAGTAAGTACCCCAGATTAATTATTATTTTTAAATCAAGTCTTTAAAAAGAACAAAATTCTTTGTGAAACTTTTTAAAGACGAGGTCATGTTAGACCCGCCCCTACTCACCCCCATGCAGCCTCCTGATTGGTTGACATTGTTTTAACTATTCTCCTCCAGCATATCTTACTGGTCATACAGTAGTTATGCCAAGGGGGGGGACTAATTTAAATCTATTAATTCACAATAGTACAGTGTCCAATGGTCAGAAATGTACATTATTTTAAAAATGAAATACAATTTAAGTCGCTGACATCACCTTTAAGAGAACATTCTGTTGTAAAAAATCCATAAAAGGCACTACTCATCACTTATTGCACAGTGACATGGGAGGACTAAAAATTTGGTTGAGTATGAATTACAAAGTCTCCCCATTATTGCAAAGAAAATCCAGACCCAAAAACATATTGTATCAGTCTATGTGTTGAACTACAGGTGGATACAGCAATCACCATATACACTACTATACTATATACTAGTATAACAACTACAGTATGTACCATGACTTCTGCAACTATACGACCTCTATACCACCACTATTACTATCCACCCTATACTACAATTATCAGCAGCATATGTTCTTCAAAAGGATTAAAGGAACTCTATAAAGGCGACACCAAAGAGCAGCGCGACATTAAATCAGCAGCTTATGTCAGAGACGGTGGGAAACACGCCGCGCCGTGACTTCAAAGCGCCGGGATCACAGAGGTGCGGTGGACACAACGCGGACCTTTTCGGATAAAAGCAGAGCTGAGCTGACAGGAGGGAGGAGGGGTGAGGTCAGGGGAGCCACTAACAAGACTGAGGGCCTTTGCTAATTACACACATAAACTATTGGCAGGACAGGACAAGAGACCGCAAAGCGACGAGGACCGAGGCTGAGGTCCAGGTGAGGCGAGGCAGGTGATTTTGCGATTTTGTCATCAAATATTGGCACTGATTTTGTTTTTTTTAAGTCTTCTCAGAGTGTGTTGTACAATCCATGTATTCCAGGTACACATTCGGATAAAAAAACTAATTATTCTTATCAATCATTGAATTGCTATTGTCTGATTTAAGTTCCATGTTAGGGCAGTGCCTTTTTCATCCTCCTTCATCCTCATCATTCATTAGCCCCATTCACACAAAATCAACAAAAACCCCGGGGCGTTCTTTTTCTCATTGAAGGACACTGGTTTGTGTGTCAGAACAACTCTGCATTTAACCCACCTTGCGACCTAGTCTTCAGGCGTATTCCGTGTGTACCCTCTGTTTAGTTCAGTTCAGTTCAGATTGCTTATTTAATCAAATTGATGTTTGTTCAAGTGCGGTATAGAGCTCAGACGGAGTAAGCAGAAGTAAAAATATATATCAGTATTTTAGACAAATGTTGAAACCAAACCCTTTTATTGGTTATATATGGGACAAGTGAAGAAGGTTACAACACTACACACATGTCACACCGGATACTACTTTGCATTATGACACAGAACAAGTCGCGTAACAAGAGTGAAGCTCGCGTCATCAAAGTTTAGGCTTTTGCATATGCTGCTCTTTCCTTCATAAAGTTGTTCAAGTAGATTCATGTGATTCCCTCTCGTCCTGGATGCACAGCGCTGACTTTAGAAGGGTTAGGGTTACGGTTTGTTTTGACCATTTCACTTTGACACGTTCCTGTCTTCCCAGAGGTGAAAAGCCAACACGGATCCAAACAACACGCCAACCTTTCCCACACCGTTGTCCCAGGTCGACACAGTCATCGGACTTACATCAAAACACATGCAGCGCTTAGTACGACATGAGAAAAAGACAAAAACAAAGCACATGTCAAAGGCAGTAGGCAGCAAATGATCTTATGCTATCTCCTTTCACATCATTGTTATCATGAAGTGGGAGGCTGGAAGTGTAAACGGCTACACATAATTTGACCTAATCCTTGGGAGGAGTTTACCACCGAAACACGTCCTGCCCTTGTTTACATCCTCCCGAGTGTGACAGCTTTCTCAGCTTGAGTTGTTGAAACCTATAGAGTTGTAATTGTAATCTGCTATTGTTGACTTCTGTAGTAAACCCCCCGCTCTCGCCACAAACGAGATTCCACTTTGGGATTACAATCAGGCCTGAATCTTCCCCTGGTCTCCTTGCCACCTGTAAACCTGTTTCAAAGCTTTCCTTCATAGCTTCTTTACACTTTTGTAGATACCATGCTAAAATATAAAAAATATTTGTAACTTTAGCATAATAAAGACGCTAGAATTAGGTATAGAATCTCTGACTTTAGCATAATACAGGAGCAAGTAAAAATTCTCCAACTTTGGCATGTCAGCTATATTGATCGGCAGGTTACGATACATATTACATTTACGATAATATCACGTTTCTCCAATAGTATAAACTGTGTAAAAGCTCACATGTATAGACTGTGAAACGAACCGGTCTAAGATTAGTTTCTGAGATTCTAAGATTTATTGACATTGATCATCTGCCGCTTGTGGACCAACGGCTCTACGTGTTTTGCATCATTGCATCTCTTGTTTGATTCTCTGATCTGTGTTGGCAAATTCAACAGTAAATTTTTAAAAGTCCTCCGACATAACCTCTGTCGTCATTTAAGGCTACACATAAATACATTGAATTGAATTGAAGGCAAAAACGTATACACAGATTCTGCCTCTGCTTAATTGATATCTCTGTTTGGAGCCAGTTTTTCAAAAGACCCATCTCCCGCCTTTGCATAATTGTACAAAAAAAAAAAACGGTCTCATCTTTCGCGTTTGAACTCTGCTGCGAGGATGTCTTCCTACTTGTGTGTTTTTGGCTGTTGTTGTTTTGGTGGACTTGATAGACAGCATTTGATGGCGTGTCAGTAATGTTGGGATCGCTGGTGGGAATAGTGCATTGATTAAAAGAGCTGTCTGCGGCTCTGACATCTCATTAGCGCGTCACTGATGTCTTCAAAGCACAATTACACAGAGCGGCAGAGAACAGGCGCGCCAACCACTTCTAATTAGCACACTTTCAAACAACGAAAAACCACACTCTATACCAATGAACACCGTGAAAACAAACATAACTTAATAATTCAAATATTTGTTTTGCGGAGTTTGCTTAGCTATAGCCTTGGGGGTTTTATCACTGGGCTAAGGACAGTAATCTCAGTCAGAACTATAGTCATGGCTTGAAAGTACCTAAAGTCTGAGTCCTGGGTCTATAGACTGTTCCTCTCTCAATATAGGCCTCCCCAAGATTTCTCACTTTTTTCCCGTTTTTTTCTTTTAGTCTTTACTTGCCGAAACACGAGGCCCTAAAGACAGTGACGATCCGAGACATTTAAGAACATTAATTAGCATTTATGGACATTGTTCATCCCGTTTCCCAATGGTTCCTATCGTTTTGATATTATTGGAAGTCCTCCGAGACGACAGCTGTTGTGTTCGGGCGATACAAAAATACATTGAATTTGATTTAATTGAAAGGCCGACTGGGTGTGTTTACAAAGCACAAGTGAAAACCAAATCCTCCACCTCCTCCAATTCGATCTTTTTGATGAAGACGCTACTAAACCTTTGCGCGGTGATTGAAGGATGAAAAACGAGTCCATTCTGATTGTGCGCTCGCCGGTTCAATTGCGGTTGAACTGCATGCAAATACGTCCATTGAATTGTAATGAGACATCGGGCTGTGATGCGTTTAAGAGCACAGGGAAAATCCAACCTTGTATTGGATATGCTTGTTTTTGGGCGGGTGTAGGTGATTCTCTGGTTCTGTTCTGGATCAATACGCAGTCTCTCACTGCACAATGTTTTATTTGTTTTCCACGCAAGGACAAAACTTAGAGGAATCATTTACGGAAATAGAGAGATCAGATTCATTTATTTGCTATTTGCAATATTCTCCAGTGTGCACAAGACGTGGACAAAAATAAAACAAGATAGAATGATTAATGCTGCAGCAGCTGATCATGTGTGAAAGTGAAACGCCAAAAGTAACAAAAATGCTTTTAATTTATGTGAGATAGCATTTTTATTCACCGTTTGAGTAATAAGGGAAAATTACGAGATGTGTTTGAAAGCATCCTCAGGTCTGGAACCTCGAGCGGCTTCTCGGCATGACTCATGGAAACGGGACCAAAACTCCTCTGATAAATATACATTTGATAATCGCATTGACTGTACTGCAGTTTTTGAACGTACTCTGTATTCTTATGGAAAAGGGCCTTCTTCCTGTGTCCATGAGGCTGTAATATTCCACCGTGTGACATTAAAGAGGACAGAGAATCCTCATATCACAGCGACACAATCTTTCACACATATTGTCTGTTTCGCAGGAGACAAAGTGACCATGTTCCCGGTGCTGGACATCGACCAGAACGACATCGTGGACACAAACGGAGCTGGAGATGCTTTTGTTGGAGGTAATTTCTAACAATATGTTTCAATACATTCCTTTGCATTATAATGAGAGTGGAAAAATAACGTTATATCAGGTTTCATACTAGTGTTGTCACAATGCAATGCTAAAATTACAAACTCCAATTGGATACTGAGAAATAGGTTTGATACATGAGACCATTTTCAACAATCTGCAATTTTTTACATACATACATTTTTACTAGTTCTGATAGAGATCAAAATCCTCCATTTGGCCACTTTTTCCCAATAATGTATTTTCTGAAATTGTTGCAATACTATTTTTAGAATAGATTTTTACCTGATTTTAAAGAAATTGGCTCCTGCTAGCTAATGTCCAAATCAGCCTCTTCCACATTAAGGCTAACACTACGGGGACATTAGCACTCAGTCAGTCCACTCCTAATATTCGGCCTCTGCTATTTCCCTGTAGGATTCCTGTCGGCGCAGGTCCAGGAGCAGCCTCTGGAGGAGTGCATTCGCGCCGGACACTACGCCGCCAACGTCATCATCAGACGAGTCGGCTGCACCTTCCCCGAAAAACCCAACTACCAATGATCCCCCAAAAACTGTCTGCTTAACGGTCAAAGATCATTCATTTTGTATTTATGTGAACTTATGCTAACACCAGCGAACTTATGCTAACACCAGGGAACTGCAAGAGGCTAAAACAAATGAACAAATGCTTTTTTTCAACTGGGAATCTAGCTTAAAAATATGTAACAGAATGGTGTTAGCAAACTGTGAGCATTGAAAGCAACAGCCGTGTAGGTCCACGTTTGGGTAGTTTACAGCCGGCGATAAACGCACAACTTGTGATTTTTGTTCTTCCATTTTGTTTTGAATAAGTCATATTTGAACAAAAATAAACACAATTTATCTATTGCTTATCAGTTCTTTCTGCTGTCCTTTTGTAAGAGAAAAGAATTTGAGTCTAAAACGCATATACTGTATATAGTACGTGCTGCAGTATTAAGTAGTAACTGTATGTAAACTGCACCGGCTAAATTTGGTCACATATAAGCTGCACTTGAATATAAGCCTCAGGTCTTTAGTTGATAGAGCAAAACAAAGTTTATCGATAACTTTTGTAACTGGACACAGCAGGATTTCATGACGATAACAAATAACTCTGAGAAGGTAAATATTAAGTAAGTGAGTAAGAAACCTTTGTTTTAGTGCATTTCACAGACCAAGGTCACACACGAAGCGCTGTACAATTTTTTCACCAGTAAAGTGACGACAGCAGTGAGACTCCTGCGTCCGTCACCGTCTCTTCAGTCAGAACTATTTTAGATGTTGGTAGGGGAAACCGGAGCACCCAGAGGAAACCTACACATACACAGGGAGAATATGCAAACTCCACACAGAAAGGTTTGTTAGCTTCCATGACAGGACTCTTTCACAATGTACTTTGTGCCTCCAATAGTTCCTGAAACTGGATGGAATCAAAATAATAGTTTTTCCCTTTTTTTTTTTATCAAGTGATGTCCGTGACTTAAATTGGTGAATGACAAAAGATTGGGCTTGTTTATGGTTTGTTCTTCAATAACAAGTTCAATGAAAAACCTCTAAAACTTCTCCTCTTTACAAAATCAAGTTTCACACCTCAGGGAGATTTTTGCACTTGTCTTCTGCTCAAACTTTCTTGAACTGTTTTAAAAAGTAAATATATTTCTGACTAAAATTTATACTTTAGTCATAACCTTGTTTTTCAATTCACACTAGTTTCTCAAAAATCTTTCTTAATCTTTGAAGTGCAAAATAGTGATCTTGAATTACATTTTAACAAAAGAAAACTTGAACAGTGCATTCACAGCTGTGTAACATTATTCTAACTTTTTGCCATTAAAAAATGGCTTACATTAAGTTTTTGGTATTTAAAGGGGACATAACATGCACAATGGACTTCTCACCGCTTAAAGTAAATGTCAGATACTTTTTAAATTATGAAGAATTATGAAGAATATTTTTGAGGACGAGCACTGATTAGACCCGCCCATTCTCCTTCCTGCAGCTTCCTGATTGGTCAAAATGTATTCAATACCTTGAGGCTCCTTGTCATTGGATGAATTATTCTCCTCTTGGTTCCAACAACATATTATTGTTGGATAATTCTAACAGTACATAATAGTACAGTGTCCCATGGTCAGAAATATACAATCTTTTAGAAATGAAATACAATTTAAGCTACTGAAGTCACCTTTAAGCTTATTTAAAGTCTATTGAAATGATCTCCTTGTCCTGGACTATTCTCATTACTTTTATAGAGACATGTTATTAGTAATTCATGGGGAGAAAAACCTCAGACTATGATTAAAGCTGTGTCATACCTGCTGCGTGTGTGAAAACAGACAGGTTTCAGCAGGATATGAAAGTCTATGTTAGAAGTTGTAATTTAAGGCCAGTCTTATATTATCATGATACTTTAGTTGACAGTGTAGATATTAAAGCTAAAACTGTTTTGTGTCATAAATAATCCATGATTTTTTTTGCCAAAACAGAAAGACTCTTTTTTAGTTTTTATTGTGAACAAATCAGACCATTACCATTAGTACTAATATGAAAGAGTTCATAGTATTTGTGAGCTTTAAAAGGGACTAGTTCCAAAAAGATTTTTACCACAAAGGTTTTTTTTTATTTATTTATTTTTTATCTCTAAGCATCAAGCAAGAAAGGTGAAATTTGCATTATACAGAAACAATGCAAATCGATATTTACATGAGATTCATTCACATAAGTAAATAAATAGGGAAGAGGGGACAAAAAAAGTTTAACTAACTGACTTTAAAGATTCAGATTCAGAAAACTAGAGAAACTATAGAACCAAAGTGTTCTGTTGCCGTGGGAACCAGTTACATGAATTTACTGCAATTGCATCTGATGTGGTTTGAAAGTCAGGTACACCAGCTTTAATCTGAAGCCTTATGCCAGCGTGTGTGTGTGTGATCTCAGATAGCCGCAGGTCTGTGTTGAGTCTACGCAGCGGAAAGACCGGTTCAGGTTCATGTTTGAGCAAATCTAGCGACACAGAGATCTTATCAAAGTGTGAAAATGTGACGAGCATAACCCCGAAACACAAACACTTGGAGAGGGAGCAGCGGCTGACGTGTCGGCTCACGCACACGCGCCTTAAGATAAACTTTGGAAAACCATTAGGTCGTCATTCATGTGTTGTGGCTTCTGCTTGTCAAGGACTCACACTTGGGTTTTGGCAAAGCTTTTCATAATACTGTAAGATTCCAGTGTGTGATAGTAGAGGCCTGTCCCCAGTCACACTGCAGACAGTCAAGTCCTTTTAAAGCTGGGGTACAGAACTTTCAAACCCCAAAAATATTATGTAATACAGGGGTGTCAATCTCATTTTGGTCAGGGGTCGAATAAGAAAAATAGGAAATAGTCGGGGGCCAAAAGGATAGAAGGGATTTCCTTTTCATATAATAGGTATTTTGACATTTTCTATGAATGTGTTTTATTGTTTAGATTGAACCAAAACTGGGAAAATTATAAAGTGGTTTTAGATTTAACCATTGAACTTTTAACGATGTGTTGGGTTAAAATGATAGAATATATTAAATTTGTTATTTTCCTTGAGAAAATAAATAATGTGACATGTTTTGCTAGCCAATATAAAGCGCAGAGATAAAAGCAACAAAATGAAAAATACAGGTTTGAACGACTTTATATGTCAAACATTTTTATAATAAGTAAAAACAGATAAACAGATATATGTTGTGTGAAGTAAAACTAAAAGAATACCAGCTATCCATAAAATAATAATAAACAATAAATTCAAATAAAACAGAGGACCACACAACGTTAGATTTTTTATTCTTACACAGAAAAGTGAAAAAAGAGAGAACTACCCTCACCCAAAGTGTCAAATTTGGACTCACAGGGATTTTTCTTACAAATATGGAAAATGTAACATGTTTTCTAATAAGATGAAAACAGAATGTCGTGGTCTGATTTGTTCACAAGGTGTTACTTTTACTCAACATTTTTTGGGAAAAACACAAATATTATTTATTAACGGGGAAAATAAAACATAAATATTTCCTTTTTTTATCTCGACACAGTGAAAACATTTAATTGGTGAAAGAAACTAAGAGTTTAAAAATGGTGAGAATAATAATAATATTTAAAACTGTTAATCTGTTTATGTTTTTAATTATTGTGAAACATGGACAAAGCAATTAATTTTTATTTGATCAACCCAATATTATTTTCTTTTTCTTTCACAATATTTCTGTCCAATCTTCTCCCGTTTGCTTTAATATTTACCACCGGTCGTTGTGGACAAATGCATCGTCTCCGAACGCCTCGTCGTCGCTCTACTCGTGTGAGCTGTTAATTGGAGCCAGAGTCACTGGTGACTCCTGTTATTATTTAATCAGCTTCAGCTTCCATCAGGATAACCACGTTTGGACACATCCGTGGCCCGTCACACACCACAGGACCTGGGGGAGATGAGGGGGAGGAGAGGGGGAGACCAGGGGGAGATGAGGGGGAGGGGAGGGAGAGACCAGGGAGAGACCAGAGGTAGACCAGGGGGAGGGGAGGGAGAGACCAGGGAGAGACCAGGGAGAGACCAGGGGGAGACCAGGGGGAGGCAGCAAAGATCTTTATAAAAAACTGTATCATTTTTTGGCAATTTGCTTAAAGCTGCACTAACTGACTTTGGGATTTTGAAGCAGCAGACTCGCTGGCCTCTCTCTTTCTGCTCCCCTCCCCGCACCCACGAAGCTATCGCCCCCCACACACACCCACTGTTGTTGACGAAGCTAGTGTCTCCCAATATGGATAATACATGGACATGGATTTGCACGTGGATGGCGTGACCATAGAACGATAGAACCGGGAAGCGCGGAGGAACGAGACTTTCTTTTGGATGGCTGTCTTGCTGTGTAAGCAGTAACCGGTGACGAAGAGACGAAGCTTCAGGTTAGCTCCTCGTCTTGTTGTGCTAACTCAGCTGTCTATGCTAACGGAGACCTGTAGATTTCTCACAAAAGTGGGGGCCAGTGGTCCGCGGTGATTGGTCACAATCTGCGACCCGAAACACATTCTCTTCCTTGTTTCATCAAAACTCGATCTAAAATATATTGTCACGCCAGCACAAATCTGCGCTACTTTTTCGTCAAAAGGACGTATATCCCAATGCCCTACACGGACATGGATAGCATTTTCGTAATGAATACAAAAATAAAGTCAGTTAGTGCAGCTTTAAATAAGACAGAAATAAAATACATTTTATCAATCTCGCAATGGAAAAATTTACATGTCACATTTGGCATAAATTTCACTCATGGTGCACAAAAGACCTTGAAAAAAAATTGAAAGATATTTTTGTGCAAGATATATTCCATTAAAAAAAAGTGACTATAGTGAAAGTTTATACAGTCCAATTGCAGGTCATTAAAGTGGCTCATTGTACAGTCTGACAGTATAAGTGAATAATTGCAGTCAGAGTTATTAGCTAGTTATAATCAACTCCCTCCACTGTCTGACACCTGATCATTAAAGCTGGGGTTCCTAACTTTTTAAACTATGTAATA